CTGGGGACAAGCTGGACGAGCCGCCCTGCGCTGGGAAGAGTAGGTGACTTACGGTGCAACCACTGCCCTGCCCCTTCTGTTGGGGAGGCCGACAGGATAATGGATTTGGATCCACACACCTGTCTCAACCAAGGGATGTGTTTTTGAGGCTCAAAGTCAATGGTGTATTAATTAAGAGGGAACAGCTGCTACCGCAGTTCTTATGATAAGTCAGTGACAAATGGCCGTGTTTACCTTCTCCCCGAGTAGAGACTCCGGAAGGTGGCCCGCAGCTCCTGGTTAGATGTCCATGGCTGAGATTTGTGGGGTACAGCCTCTTCCTCTCTCACCCCCTGAAGCTTCTTCATCAGTGTCCACGGAGACCCGAGAGGGCTCTTTGTCACTGAGTGGACAGGTGTGCGGCCCCGGGAGCTGGGGAGGATTCGGGCAGAGCAACCCAAACTTCTCAGCGGCAGCCCCGCCTGGATTTGCTCTGGGACCCCTCCGCGGACAACCCCGCCACATCGCATTGTCCCTTGTGAAATGAGGGCTGCTTGAAAGTGAGACTCGGCCCTTCAAAGCGGGGAGGGCTGCGACGCCCGGATCTGAAACCGTGTCTGCAGCAGGAGCGAGGCGGAGGCCGCAGCTCGGGGCCTCTGTGCCAGGCGCGCAGTGTACCATAAAGGAAGGAGCGGGCCGGCGGGGGCCTTTTGTTATTTAGTTTATTTTGATCTCACTCCTGCTCTCCAAACAGCTTCACAGAAACAGAGCCCTGCATTAGCTCCCTTCTCAGCTTAAGACAAACACAGCAGAGGGGAAATCTGACTGGAAAACAGAAGAGGGAAACAGCGCACTCCCCCGGGCTGGGTTTCTGGTCCTTTGTTAGACTGTCCACGTACCCACCGAGTTTCCAGATGATGGAGACCAGGTTGGTGCTCCGGTGCCAGGGGCCACCCACACGTGGGACGGTGGGCTGCCTCCAGGACATGGCAGGGGCTGCCTTCTTCCTGTGGGGACCAGCCATGGGGCCCCTGCAGCTTTACCCACACATGGCTGGGTCGCCCTCAGAGAACCTGCTGGCTGCTGCGAGGAGGGAGCCTGAGGCCCACCCCAATGCGCAGGCCGGCCACGTAGTGGTCTCCCCGAGGGTCAGGCCCAAAGGACGCAAGAAGCCGGCCTCCCTGATGACACTGCTGGCCACTGGGAAGCCCTGTGCAACTCTGCCCCGCTCTTTCTCCTCCAAGGCTGGCTGAGCCCCAGGGGAAGCCGAGTCTAGATGGGGCAGAAATGAAGCCAAAGGGAAAGGCTCTGCTGGCCCGGGCTCCTGGCCACGCTCAGCTGGCAGGGCCCTGTGAGCCCCCAGCCCCACACCGTGCACACAGGGAAGCCCAGGCAGCCAGGTTATGCCGCGAGGAGGGAGGACCAGAGCTCCAGGCCTTCACAAGGCTGCACTCCGCCATTCCTCAGAGGTTGCTTCGGGGAGAGGGAAAGAACGGTGGAGAAGAAACACATCCATTTTTAATAGTTTATTTATCCAACAGTTTCAACCCCGATGCTGAAGCCTGTTGCAGCTTCCTGTTTCGGCTGGAGCCTGATTAGGAGACTTGTCCTCGCCACGGGGCTGGCACTCAGATTCCAGCCCCGCCGACCATCCAGACATCAGAGGAAATGAGACAGTATTGCTCAAATGAGGGAGACTGGAGCTTTATTAAGGAAACGAAAAACACCAGTAAGACCAGAGCGGGGTGTTAATGTCTTCTGGAGGCAGCTGCTCGTCTCCGTCGCCCCTCCTGCCTGCCTGCCGCAGATGAGGACATATGGGGAAGAGCCCCGCTGGAGAGGCTCCTCCCCTTAACTCATACGGCGCGCGCGGGGCCCCCCCCCAGCCGCAGGGGCACAGGACCCCCCGCCGTGCTGGAAGTTCTGTAGAGCAGTCCGGTGCGAGGCCGCGGCCACAGTAAAACACGGTGCTTGGCAGGCAGGGCTCCCGGCCCCGCGGTCGGGGGAAGTCGCGGCGTCCGTGAGAGCACCACTGACGGCACAGCGGGAGGTGGCGGCGGGCGGCCTCGGCTCCTCTCTGCTTTCAGCACGGTCCTTCTCCGGGCTCCTCCCAGGACACCATGCCAGAGCTCGCTCCCGCAAGCGCAGGGAGGTTCTAGACAGGCCC